GAAACTGTATTCTCGTAGACTATCATATAAATGGAATCATGAAATATGTACTCTCTGGTTCTGACTTCTTTCATTCAGCATAATGTTTTGAGATTCATGGGAATTCCATTTATATATCTGACGTTACGAGGCGCATGAGTTCGTACCTCGAGAAGCATGTTGCCGTTCAGTTGCACGGGGAAGAACTGAAGTAGGAGGATACTTAATGTTTCAGGCATTCCAATGTGTAGTACGGCGAGATATTCAGCCCCACTCATCTGCAAAAATTGTTTCAGAGAGTGTGAATTTGCGTAAGAACATGTTAGGCATTTGCCAGCCACCTATAAAAACAGTGTTATTAAGCAGGAGGTTGATTCCCTGGACTAGCACAAGAAGTGCTTAGCGGGGAGAGAGCCCATAAGTAAAATGAGTGTAATCAACACTTATTGAAAACAGGTTAGTTGTTTTCTGAGGCTGCATGTTAAGGATGATATGATATTTAATAATTACCTAGGAATAGGCACTAAGGAACTGGAAATGTTCTATCTTGATTGTTGGTGATACACGGTAGAAAATTTATTAAACTTATGAAAAAATACACTTATGATGGGTGCATTTCATGATGTAAATGATCGTTTTGTAAAGTTGATATTAAAATATGAAAAAACAAACAAATAACAAAATCCGGACTCTTCCTGACATGGCATTTCAACTTAATGTTTAGTTTTAGCTGCTGGTAGACCAAAGTTATTTAAATATTTGATCACTCAAATGTTCACTCTTTATTTTATAAGTTATCAGTCTTTCAATTGGCATATATCCACATTGTTGGGTAAGAAGATAAAAGGGGATGTAGAGGATACAGACACATTTTTAAGACTATTTTCAAATTGTAACAACTTTATTTTAACTGATAGGAGTAAGGAGATTGATAATTCATCAAGACATTTGTTTGAGGATTATTCTTCATAACCAAAACAGTTGGATCAGGGTGATGAAGACTCTTAAATTGCTAAAATGCCATTTGTGAAATTTTATTTGAATCACAACCAGGTTCAAGATACTAAAATTTTCCATTTGTGATTTATCTCATAGAACTAAGTAGAGGTAGAGGAGTATAAAAGACTTAAATATTCCTCATGAAAACAATAACCATTAAGTTTGAAGAAGAGTTTGTCATTAGAATATTTCAGCAATCTTTCAGTTATCCTTTTTAGGGGGGATGAACTAATTCCTAACCAGATTATTAAAATCACATGTAAATAGTTTGCCTAAGATCTTTGATTGCTATTGAATTTGTGTTTTAACTACATTCTGACAGCATAGCATATGCATAGTTAGATAAATTAAGATAATCTAATTTTAAAAATAGAATTTATAATGTTTATTATTCTTGTTTTAATTATCTAGAAAGGATTCTAGATCCTATTTATGCTTCAAAATAGTCTTCTCTTTTAAAAAATAATGTTTGACTGTAAAAACCAAGTTGAAATTCTTTACTGTTGACTACACCTACTCAGTGATAAAGTTGTAAGAAAGATTATGTTGCTCACCTGTAGTCATTGTGCTTGATATTAGCAAAGTTTCTAAGTAAAAGCAAATGGCTGTTTACAAATAGAGATCTACAAAGTTATGGTAAGCAACGTTTATGCTTTATATTCTAATCCAGGAGAAGCCTAAATTAAACACTAGCACTTTTAATATAGAGAAATTAAAGGCTTATAATAATCAAAATAGAATCCTTTCGTAAAAACCAATAATTGATTCTATTTTCTAAGATGATAAGAAAATTGTAGCTATTCTCCAAAATAACTATAACCTGTCATGTGAAATGGAAATTGAAAGTTTCAAAGGAAAGATTGATCCAGTATTTTCATCTGTGAAGAGAGAATGAAGTTATTTGGGTACTAGAGACACTAATGAGGAGGTGGATTCTGGTTTAAGAGAAAATGATTTATGGTTTGACATCAGTATGTCAGAGGTGAAGCTCTATCTTTGATGGAATAATTAAATGAGATTGGATCTCATGACAAAATGTGTTCCTAACTTATATATATTAAAGGTAACTGCCTTAAAATTTACATTGAAAAACTTTTTGAATTGATGTATGTGTTCTAGTCAAACCATTCAAGTTTATTCTTTTATATTATTATGCTTTTTACAAATTATTTTTGGAGACCAAACTTCAAAAGGTAATGGATTATAAGGGTAATTATAATTACAGAATAACAGTGTCAATTATATCTTTCAACTGGAAAACATTCTACTTCCTTTTCATTTGTTAAATTTTACAAAAGAACAAACTTGTATAGCTCAAACAATACTTGAATGAACAGTAATTGAATTTCATGCCCCATCAGCCAGTCAAATTTAAGAATATTCCCAATTATTTTTACAGAGCACAAAGCCTAGATTTCATTATATTCAACACAGAACAATGTCCTTTGGAGCAGCTGACATCCTGAGCTCTGAGAGACTGAATAAGGACAAATACCTTTTAAAATAGTAAGCCTTCTGATGTTTCATCTAACAAAAGCTGCTGGTAGGGTTAAACCCCACCCTAACATTCATCCTTCCCACATATGACACTAAAAATCTAGAGGTAGTATTTGTATATTTCCAGCATTAGCAGTAATACGGAGTTGAAATAGGTAGGCCTCAACTCAACTCTTGAAACTTCTGCTGGAGCAGGGAAGGGGCAAGTCAAAGTCAGAGGGCCACGAAGGCCCAGAAGCGGGAGCACTGACTGGAATTTACAGGCTGGGTCCATGTAGATAAAATGGAACAATGTAAAGACTATGCACAAGGAGGTAATGCAAATGTCCCAACTTTCCATATCCAGACAAGTTTCTATAACTGAATATGTATTCATAAGATAGCAGGCATGGTATGTCTTTAGGGATTGCAGATGGCTCCCACATTCTAATTACTTCATCTCCAACTCAATGCTCCAACAAACTACAATCTACATGATTTCCTCATAATTAAGATCTTCAAGTATCTTTAGACCCACAGTCTCCTTTGCTTGGGACAATTCTGCATCCTCTTTACAAGTTAATTCCAAAATCTAGTTAAATGTTATCCTTACTTCTAAAAACTTTCCCAACTCCTGCAAACAGAGTTGGTTGTTCTCTCTCTGTGCATACTGCACATAGCTTTTACATTTCTTTGAATGTTTGTTGTAAATCATTTTATTATACACCAATTTTCCTTACTAGAATGTATGCATGATTTTAGAGAAGCCTGGAAAATTTTTCATCCTGGTTAGTATGACTGAGCTGTTACCTGAACCATAGTAGACAATGTTTATTTATTACATTCACTTTTTAAAAAGTACTTTCACATATATGATTTAATTTGACATGCACAATTATTTATGGCTTTCTGAACAAATATTAGTAAACCAGTCTTACTAACAAGAAAGAGTGCAGTAAAATGAATTGTAACTTATATAAGGTTACTGGTGGCTTGTTTATTAATTTTTAAAATTAAGCATTATAATGATAGGTTAGCCTCTCCCCAAATATACTCTTCCTTCAGTCCTTCTCCAGAGTTAGTAACCTAAAGTTGTTGTAAAGTCTTCCCATTCGTGTATATTATTACTCTGTAAGCCTTGAGCATCTGTCTCAATCATGCCTGTGTATTCTTGGGTTTTGTCCTAATCCACATAGAGGTTTACCTTGTTTTTGAGCATGGCTACATTTTAAAATGATTATTTAACATGAATGAATCTGGAAGACATGCATTATGCTAAGTGAAATAAGCCAGATGCAGAAAAACAAACATTACATGATCTTACTTATGTAAGCAAATAGCAAAACTCAAAGAAACAGAAAGTAGAATGGTGGTTACCAGGGGCTAGTGGGAGGGGGAAATAGGGAAGTGTTGGTCAAAGGGTACAAAGTGTCAGTTATGCAAGTTGAGAAGTTTCTGGGGCTCTAATGTATGGCAATGCGACTATAGTGACCAATATTGTATACTTGAAATTTTCTAAGAGGATAGATTTTAGTGTTCTTACCATCAAAAAGAAAAGAGAAAAAAAAACGAGAAAAGGAAAAGAAAATGGTATATATGAGTTGATGGGCATTATAATCAGCTTGATTGCAATGGCTATTTTCCAATGTATAACTATATCAAATCACCAAGTTGTACACCTTAAATATATATAATGTTTTCTTTTTTTGTAATTTCGGAGTATTACTGGAATACAGCCATTTTGGTTACATGAATTGCTTTTGTAATTTTTAATTGTCAGCTATACTTCAATAAAGCTAAAAAATTGTAAACCAGCTTACAGATGTTTGAAAGTCAACTTTTGGAATTTTTTTCTTTCTGTTTTTATTTTCTTAATGGGTGATATTGACCAAGATGGCCTTAAAGTTCCATCCACTAGCCCCTGGTAACCACCATTCTACTTTTCTGTTTCTTTGAGTTTTGCTATTTCGGATACCACACATAAGTAAGATCATGTAATGTTTGTTTTTCTGCATCTGGCTTATTTCACTTAGCATAATGCATGTCTTCCAGATTCATTCATGTTAAATAATCATTTTAAAATGTAGCCATGCTCAAAAACAAGGTAAACCTCTATGTGGATTAGGACAAAACCCAAGAATACACAGGCATGATTGAGACAGATGCTCAAGGCTTACAGAGTAATAATATACGAATGGGAAGACTTACAACAACTTTAGGTTACTGACTCTGGAGAAGAGACTGAAGGAAGAGTATATTTGGGGGAGGCTAACCTATCATTATAAGCTTAATTTTAAAAATTAATAAACAAGCCACCAGTAACCTTATATAAGTTACAATTCATTTACTGCACTCTTTCTTGTTAGTAAGATTGTTTACTAATATTTGTTCAGAAAGCCATAAATAATTGTGCATGTCAAATTAAATCATATAGTGTGAAAGTACTTTTTAAAAAGTGAATGTAATAAATAAACATTGTCTACTATGGTTTCAGGTAACAGCTCAGTCATACTAACCAGGATGAAAAATTTTCCAGCTTCTCTAAAATCATGCATACATTCTAGTAAGGAAAATTGGTGTATAATAAAAGATTTACAACAAATATTCAAAGAAATGTAAAAGCTATGTGCAGTATGCACAGAGAGAGAAAGTGACCAACTCTGTTTGCAGGAGTTGGGAAGTTTTAGAAAGTAAGGATACATTTAACTAGATTTTGGAATTAACTTGTAAAGAGGATGCAGAATTGTCCCAAGCAAAGGAA